TCTCAACACGCGCCCGGGTGGCCGCCTAGATACCCTTCGCTCGGATGGGAGGGGGTCAATTTGACCCCCCAGAGACATCGGGAACTAAGAAAAGTAGAAACACCAATGTCACCGGGTGTGTTGACCTGTACATGAACTCACTTAGAACAAAGTTTCAGATTCCTAGGTCATGACATTCGGGTCAAAAAAGGTAAAAAAAGTCAAGTTCCAGGTTGATCTCCAAAGCGCCCCCAAAACCTCGATAACCGTTTCTAAGCAAAAGGTCGAATTATTATTCAAGGTCAGTGATCTTTTTGACCTTTTGAAGGTCAAGGTGACCAAAGTAATTCAAGTTTTGCATTTGACTAAGCGACAAGAAGTACGCTATGCAGTATTCCTAAAACAAAATGTTGACCTGGGTCATTTTAGGTTAATGACCTATTTTGACATTTAAGAAATTCGTGGAAGATGCATAATGCGGTTTCTGCAATCAATAAACTCGAAATGAGCACCATAAACTACCCCATACAGCAAGCCTTAGAATAACAAAACAGTTTGGTTTTGACCTTGGTGTGACCTTCATACCTGACCTTAAGTCAATGTAATTTGCTCATTCCACTGTTGAGTTGCCTAAGAAATCATCCCAGAGATGTATGGCTTCGTCTAACGTTGTTGGATCAGATATGGCTCCGTTGTTGGATCAGATTAACGGATTCCCTAGAAATAGTCTTCGATGAAGCCAGAGTCTAACTTTGACCTGCCGTAGGTCAGCGACCTTGCAAGGTATACCTAAATTTTTGATTCCAAACGAACCGCCATTCAATTGTCTACATCTGTGAAAAATTTGGAAACCGCGCGCGCGCCGTTCGGAAACCATTCTGGAAAAATCTTAGGGGGGTCAATTTGAACCCCGCCCGAGCGCGTGTTAAATGGCACGGCAATTTAAAACGACACGTGTCAAATTGATTACGTTCGTCGCGAGATGCTGTGGTCAGCCACGATTCTTACGACCACTAAAAAGCCTAGTTATTTGGTATTTTATACTGTTATGCATGTGAAGTGGCTTGGTGGAAAAATCCGTAAAAAGCGCTGATCTGAGAGGTAATGGAAGAGCAGCGTGTCACCGCTGATCTGTGACTTAAGCACTAATGTACTATAGTTTGTAGTGTATTTCTGTCACCAGCTAAAAATCATCCTAATAAAAGCAACTTAGTTTGGCATCATTTTATAGCTCAACTTACTCATAAAGTGAACGATCAATTCTTGGACATGTGCTCTGCACAAGCTCTCGCTGCAAGCTTTAACGGGTATATCATAGGCCTATGCTAAGTCTTGACTTTTGTCTAAATGGGATCGTCTGTTGTAATATCGTCTCATCTGTTGTAATTTGTTCCATATTTGCAATTTGGCCATCACTTCGCTCGCACGTGCCCATTTCTGTGACCATCTATATCCAGTAAATCTGAAACCTTTTCAACGGTCCTAAAAAGCAAGAATATAAGCATGTCAGGTGTTGCCAATTTTACGGGCTTGAAAGGTTTTTTTGATGGCCATTTTCAGCTCGTTACAGGAAGATTGAACATAAGAAACCGTGGCCGGAGGTTCAATCGCTGGAAATAACTTGCCTCTCAATAATTTGTGGAATCTGGAAACATTGCAAGTGAATTCAAATGCTTAATTTGGTGTTGGCATCTGGTTGTAAATCTATGCCAGGAGTGCTCTCAATTCGGTGTAGTTTTCAACATCAGCAGGAAATTGCAGCCAGGTTCGTTCATTCATAGTAGATAATTTGAACAGCAAAGGTCTTGGGATGGATGCGGAGTTGAGTTTCGTCTTACTGGAATGGTTTGTTATAATGTGGTTTAGCCTGTTGTAATTTGCTTCCATCTTTGCAATCTTGTCACTAATTGGCTCCCAAAAGCGATTGTCTTGTCACCGACCGTATCCGGTAAACTGAACCTTTTTCACCCCTGTGGCGGGGTTTGAATATCTTTACGGTGGCGTTGTGGATAGCTGGGTGACCTTGAAATAGTATTTCCTTTAATGCTGCGCATCTTCACGTGAGTGTAGCTGAGAAACTAGAGTTTCCTAGGTATTGAGATGGGCTATTAAGGACCACCTCACTGCTGCACAATGAAATCAGGCCATTTTTTGTTACATTTGCGCTGTTATTCTAGGGTTTTCAGTGAACTATTTCCTTAAAGTGATCTAATCTATGTAACCTGGCTTGCTGGCATGTTATGCCAAGGGTTTTTGGTTTCTAGTGCTCTTACTGTAAAAGTGAGAATGTGACTTTTTCATAAGTGTGATGGGTCTTGCAGCACGACCTGGTTTTTGAATGTTTTTTGAACCTAAGGAATGGGAGAAGATGCATAAATGTCCTCCTGAAAACGTCTTAACAGCAAACGTCTGGCGCAAAACTCGGCCAAACGCCCACAGGTTGTTACGGGTCAGACGTGGTTACGTTGGCAACCTGAAACATCGTATATCTAAATCCGACAAACCGCCATAACTCACGAGTCTGTCAAGCTAAACACGGAAACTCATCGCGAACGTTTCATCCACGCTTTGGAGCGCATGTGGCCCAATAGTTACAATCCTAATTGTCGCGCGACTTTTCTGTGCGTAACAGCCATGGTCTATAGCTCGATATCTCAGGTATGTCCTCACTACCCATCTCAGTGGTATCCCACTAGGTGGGATACCACTGAGGTAAGGTGACTCATGGGCCAAGCAAAGGTGAGCTGGGACAATCAATAGAAGGTTGATTGGATATTTAACCTTGCGAAAATTCTGAGTAGTGGATTAAAACAATAAGTTACGTGCGACTTTCCCGCTTTGAGACATCGACCCTCCTGATTTACAGGGCCATGGGTGGGAAACTGATGTCACGAGTGGGAAACCTATTTTCCATGGACTTAAAGCTCGCCCACCACACCTATGGCCACCACCAAATATGCCGGATGGGCCAAGATGAATGGTGACATCTATCAGGTTAAGATGGGCGTCCTGCACCAACGATCCCGATTTGATCCGAGAAGCCTTCAGCCGATGTGAGCTCAATCTCTCAATCGCAATATTCTATCTTGTTCTGATTCTGAAGTGGCGTTACAAGGCCAGTCGTTGGAGCGAACCGGAGCGCCGCGCCCCCACCGACCCCGCTCCCATCCCCCCCCCCCCCCAGTGACCCACTGACCTTGATCGCAACTCAGTGTAAGACAAGTGCAGCTCTGATTGCAGGCTGACGTGGGTAGGTGTTGTGGTGGACCTGCGTGGGAAGCTCTGACTGGTTTGACGTGGGCCTAGGTGTATAACTAGTGAGCTTGCAATGAATACGTCGTAGATAACTAGAACGTACATACAACGTGTATGCATGCATTTGTCGCCGCTTGCACTTGAGACGATTATGTCAAAGCAAAGTTGAACGATTTGCGTTCGAGAAAATAAAGTCATAACATAAAAAGTTAGTCTAGTATTACGCAGCGTTTTCCATGTCCCGATCTTCGACGCACTAAGGTGAGACGACCAAGACCGACCCGCTCATTTCCTATGATCCAGGTCCAGGTGCACACAGAATATGCTGTGACGCGAAAAATAAAGCCCCACCAAACGGTACCTCATGTATCGCATCGCATATTATCAGCCATCATCATAGTGTTGTTTTGATTCATGATCGGCACGAGCAAGTCATGCCATGCGGTATCTCGACTGAACAACCAGAGAGACCTTGAGTGCGGGCATGCTATACACGCGATTCGTGTCAGGCCCGCGACGACCTCAGGCATTTTATCACCAGTTAGGAATAAAATGTTAACTTATGCCGAAAAGGTTTTGGCTATACACCTCCCAAAGCCTGGCCTGTGATTGGCCCAAGTATGAGACGGTTACCACCCATCACCAATGCCTTTCTTATTCGGTAATGAAAGAGTGTTCCACATTTGTAAGGGGTTTTGAAATGGAAGAGCCATCTTGAAGGTCATTCGGTGCGGTTCACAGCCCTGCCCTTATTAAGACCTGGCAAAATACTGAGTTCTATTTAAATGAGATTGTCTGTCGCAATATGGTTTGACCTGTTGCAGTTGTTGCAGTTTCACTTTTTTCCGTCATCAGTTTGCTCGCAAAAGTGTCAATTTTTGTCACCAATCATATGCGGTAAATCGGAAATGTTCACCCCTGGGAAAGAGCAATACCAAAGTATACCTGGTGTTCCCAATTTTACGGGCTTGAAAAGTTTGTATACTGTTGATTTTCAGGTCGTTCCAAGAATGATAGGCATAGAAAACTGTTGTCGGATGCTCAGTCCCTGGAAATATCTGGTCTTTCAATAATTTGCAGTGTCCGAAAACATTGAAACTAATATTTAAATACTTAATTCAGATATGACATCTGGTTTTAGACCTATAGCAGGAATGGTGTCACTTTCCTTTGTTTTTTCACATCAGCAGAATCTTGCTACAAAGTCCGTGTATCCACAGTCGATACTTTTAATAGGCAATGTTTTGGAATGAAATGGAATATGAAATGCACACTCAATGGAACACGTTTAGAGTCTGCACCCATGAACGCCTATTTCACTTCGTATCTTACCTATAGATCTATAAGAAAGTGGTACGTTGTTTTCAGTTATCCGAGTGCTTACAGATCCACTGAAAACCTATCAGTGAACAGCAATCCCCTGGGATAAAAATGACCATTCCTGTCGACGCGCCCGAGAACACCAAAAACAAGAACGTAATCCTTCCTGTGAGCGGTTGGTGTGGAATGTGCCGAACGAAGTGCGCCTGGCTTAGCTCCGTGATCGGGGTCATTCGGTAAACATGCGTCAAAGCATAACTGCTCGTCAGTATGACGCTGTAAATAGTGATGAGCAACGACATAAGGTCCCTCTCCAGCCGTGTTGCAGCCGGTCATGGCGCAGCGATTTCAAGGCCACTAGGTGGAGCCCAGATTGGCGGTAGTCTGGTCGGGCAGTCTAATGTTTGCACTGCATTAGAGGGGCACCGTCAAGTGTGGTCGAAAAGATGTACCTCTGGCTGGTGCTCGTCTTGGCAGCTGTTCTGCTGTGGGCCTGGAGGTCAACCAAGCGACCGGCCTGGAGTCCACATGGTGAGTGAACGTGAGGCCCACGTAACGAATTGCGTGCTGGAATACTTGCCATGTTCGTGTCAACGTTTGTGTTGCGTTTAGATGACGCCACGTACAATTAACAGGCGTCCGAAAAGAGCGGTGTATGCGTCTAAGCCTCTGTCTAAATTCAGACCTAAGCCAACAAAACATTAACAAACATAAAGATGCACGCTTTGAGTTTGACATGTTTGCGTAAAATTTCCCTGCACCCGCATTTAAGTGATTAGAGCTGCCAACTGAGAGATTCAGAAAACCCGAGCGGCCCGGCAGCCCGATTGAACGGGTCTAAAAAACCGGCAATGGCGCAGACATGCAAATTTTCCGAAACGGGTTGTCCGATCGCCTTAAAACCTGCTCCAATCGATTCCGTGCCGTGCGGTGGGTCATGGGGAGACAATATTGAGATCTGACCTGAGGTCGAGCACCGAAAACGTGAAAAGACAACATTACATGCAAATCCAGACAACTTAGATCTCAGAGCTTTCTGGACCGATGACTGTGAAACTAACCATTGGATGCCCCATACCTGGCTCTCTGTTTGCAGTTCCAAATTTGGTGACCCTTGGTCAGGTTAAAAATCGTCAAATTTCACAAAGCCCAAAATTCTTGCTTGTAGACACCTCATAGCTCAGAACCTACCCAGTCGATCACTGCCAAAACTTCACCGATGCATGCCCCATACCTGATTCCCTGTTTGCAGTTCCGAATTTGATAACCATAGGTCAGGTCAAAATCCGTCAAATTTCACAAAGTCCAAAATTACTTCGTGTGGTCAATTATAGTCCTGAATAAATTACACTGGTAGCTGCCAAACCTTACCACTCAGAACGCCATCTACCCTAATTCTCTGTTGAAGCTGGAAGTGTGGTGCCACTTATAATTGTCTTCTCTTTGTGTCCCCCCCCCCAAAAAAAAATACACCTTCAGCTTGGTTGGGCTGGCCTTATGAGGTTGAATTTCTCCGTAGTAGAGGTGTTGTGCTGAAAATCATGCGCTGAATTGTGCTTGGTGTCACCACGATTAACGCCTCTGCTGAGGAGTTATTCAATCTCATAAGGCCAGCCTAGCCAAGCTGCACATTTGCTTGGGAGCAAGCATAAAGGAAAGTCATAATTATAAGTGGTACCATGCTTGCAGTTTTCGCAAATAATTTGGGTAGATGGCGTATAGAATGGTAGGGTTTGACAGTTATCGGCGTGGTAGATTTTTAGTTTTAAGAAGTCTGCAACCAACAATTTTGGACATTGCGAAAATTGACTACCTTTGACCTGATCTAAGGTCACCAAATTTGAAACTGGAGCAGGAAATTAGATATGGAGCATTCAATGGTGAAGGTTTTGGAGTGATCGGTTCGGTAGGTTCCGAGCTATAAGTTGCCTGCAGACAAGAAGTTTGGACTTGGTGAAATTTGATGACTGTTGTTGGCTGACCAAGGGGCACCAAATTTGAGTTGCGAGAGGGAATCGGGCATGGGGCATCCAATGGTAAGAGTTTCACAGTGATCGGCCCAGTAAGCTCTGAGGTCTGAGTTGTCTGCATTTGCATGTAAAGTTTTCCCTTCACTTTTTCGAGGTATTTGACCTCAAGTCACTCCTCCATATTGTCCCCTATGACTCACCTTATCGCACGGAATCGATTGATGAAGGTTTCAAGGCGATCGGACGAGGTGTTTCAGAAAACTTGTAGATCGGCGTCATAGGCCGGTTTTTTTACCCTGCCGCCCGAGTTTCAATTCATCCGGTTCTACTCGGAATTAAAGAGCGAGTATAATGCTATGCTCTTTGGCATACATTTTAATGGATTACCCAAACGTGAGAGATGATGCATGTTGTGCATGCAGGAACTCCAAAAAAGGTGTATAAATAAGCAAACAACTAACAAACATTCGGGAATCTGAAAGGGAGTGAACCAGATGTGTAGGGGCTTTCAGCTGAAATGACCACCTCGAAGACCTTTTGATGCAGTTCACAGCCCTGCCCGTCTTAAAACCTAAACTCCTTTAGTTTCTGAGCTACACACCGCGAAAAAGCCGGCATTTCGGTGCGAGTATTTCATGGTAACCTTGGCATTCGTGACGTCATAATACCGTTACCAACATCCTGCCTTTCCAGAGCCCATGCGGCGAGCAAGGCGGAGAAAAGCATAATAGGCGAGTCGTTCACATCTGCCGTTCGTGGGCACGATTTCGAAATATGATGACCGTCGACTGGCTCTCAATCAAGGTTGCGCAAGGTACAATCACCTTACCAAACAATGACGTATCGAGGAGCATATTTACTACAAAAAAATGATGTCGTTTAGGGCAGTCTTTCGTCTTGAAAGCTTATCGATAGTTTAGGTCAGCTTGTTTCATCATATCTGGTGCTGACTTTAATAGTTTTAAGTGTGACACATTCCCTTTAAAATATGTACCACATTCGTATGGATTTCCAACTGAAATGGCCCTTTCGATGACCGTTCGGCACAGTGCACAGCCCTGTCCGCCTGAGAACCTAAAATCTTCTAGTTCCTTATCTATACGCCCACAAAGACGTGAAGGCTTTTGTGAACACTTTTTCAAGGTCATTCTGGCATACTTAACACCATGGAAACGTCATTCAAATTCTGCGACCCGATTGGTCATGCAGCGTTTCAGCTAAAATGGGCGCCCATCGGCTCCCAGTCGACTGGGAGCCGATGGGCGCCCATTTTAGCTGGAAGTCGTACTCATAAACGCCAGTAGGGAACGGCTTGACGATTATACTCCTCTTGGTCTTGAACGCTGCATGACCAGTCGGGTCGCAGAATTTCAATGACGTTTCCATGGTGTTAAGTATGCCGGAATGATCAGACCGTGCAAGTTTTAATCACGATTCGCGTCTTGTGCTACACAAGATAAGAAGTTGGACGTAGTTCCTAAGCAATACTATCATTTGGAAATAAGACTGGTGATCGAATAGCTTATGAATAGTGCTATAAGAGAAGCACGTGAATACAAGTGAAGCAGTTTATTTCATAAATGAATATGCAAGAACACTACGATAAAGGGACGAAACAGAAGCACAGCACGATACGTAGATTAGCAAACACACAGCACAGCGAGAGACCACCTGTCAGCAAATTTAAGTGCTACAGTTTAGTGCTAGTGTCGCACTGTCGCACGCGCAGTTTGGTAGGACTTCAACGTTACACAAATATTTCATGCTACAGTGACACACTGTCGCGTTGAGGTGCATGTTTTTAAAGCAGAGAATTTTGTTTAGAGTAATTTTCATCGTTCCTTGCACAACATTGATTGAATGGCGATTGGCGGTCATTTTATCTGTAAATCGTGCTCACGAACATCTAACGTGAACATCCCGACAATAATATTTTCTTGACCTTGACCGCCGCGTGATTTATGGAATGGCAGAAGAGGAGAAAAAGTGTCGTTTCTGCCACGGACGAAGCTTGGAACAGTCTAAATCGTCATCTGGATCTAAACTTATCAGAAACCTTTGCAATATAATTCCACATACGATCAACGAAAAAAAAAGAATTGAAACGCTGTGCGGCATGCCCATTGGATATTTTTGTTTCGGGAGTTTTATTTGAGCTTAAGTGGCATTTTCTGAAATGAAACACTGAATGATGGTTGGGACTAATCTATCAGAGTTATCAGGTAATGACACACTTGACATGATTAGCCCTAGAGACGAACAGTTTCCTATTCAGTTTGGGGTGGGGGTAGGGCCTGTGGAACCTAACCAGGGATGTAGTTTCCCATTTGTATTGGTCGTGTAATTTATCCTCCTTATTTAAGGGTCATTTCTTAAGGTACTTCGCACCAAAACTGATCTTGGTTACCTATGCCCCTGCTCCCAGCCTTGAAAGGAAAGTGCGTCAAATCTGGGGGAAACCTGATTTGATTGCATTTCGGGGGCAGGCTCAGTCTTTTTCTGCTTCCTCCCCTCCCCTTCGCCCGTATGTATTTTAAAAAGATGCATCCATTTAGTCCCACCTTATGCAATAACGTGATTTTAGAAGTACCAGGGAACAACGCACCTTTTGGTTTTGTAACATCATCGTGCAATCCGTCGAAGGCATTTGCGACCATCACTATCTCCGCGTAACATCTGTGCAGGCCCAGCACTTTATGATATGATCCCAATTAGTTAGTGCCAAACTGATGTAATATTGGTATCAGCAAATGCAAAAGGCATTTTTGAACATTAGCGCCTTCACTTAGCTCTTTATACCATATTATAACAGTGAAAAACGCTTCATCTCAGGCCTGTGCATCGGTTAGTTGGCTAAGTATAAAGTGTTGTGGGCAGCGTGAAAGGCCTACACCAGTAATGCCCGACCTTTTACCTTAAAACCGTTGTTCCTCATAGTAGCAGGGAGCCACGGATGAACCATTGCAATGTTCCCTCCACTATCCTCCGTTGACCTCCGAAGCTGCGGTTTAGGTATCCACAAACAACAAGCCTCCTAGACGGGCAGGGCTTTTCAACGTTGTTATCAGACACTTCCTCCATGGTAGATCCTTAGAAAACTCCGCACAGCACCTAAAAAAACTGACGATTGTATATGTTTTTTCGAGCCAGTTAATTTCTATCCGACATAAAGACAATCAACAGCAGCCCACAGCCCTGAAGACTTATATTGAAATGATTCGAGTACTGCGTGGCGAGCTGTCTCGAATGGCACGACGCTTTAAAACGCCGCACGGCAGTTTGATCACGTTTGTCGCAAGGTGTTGTCGCCAGCCACGATTCCTACGATTAGCAAAATGCCTAGTTGATTGGTATTTTATGCTGTTCAGTGTGCGTGAAGTGACTTGGCTGAACAATCCGTGAAAAGTACTGATCTGAGAGGCATTGGAAGAGCAATGTGTCACCACTTATATGTTACGTCGGCACTGATTTTTTCATCCCTGTGGAAGGATTTGAATGGTCTCATGATAGCGTCATTAATGCCTGGATTACCTTAACATAATCTCCCCGAAAAGTGCACGTCTTCGCGAGCTTGGCGATCTGTAGCTCAATATCTCAGGTATTCCCTCACTACCCACCTGAGTGGTATCCCACTATAGGATGCAAATTGGTCAAACAAAGGTGAAGTGGAACCGTCAATAGAAGGTTGATTGTGTGATCAACCATGCGAAAACTCGGGGTAGTGGACTAAGACAAAAATGTATGTGGAATTTTCCCGTTTTGAGACATCAATCCTCCTCATTTACAGGGCCACCACTGGTTCCATGGGTAGGAAATCTGCTCTCCGTGGACTTGAAGCATGCCCACCACACTTATGCCGCATGGGCCAAGATGTACGGTGACATCTATTATGTCAAGATGGGCGTCCTGCACCAGGTTGTGATCAGCGATCCCGACTTGATCCGAGAAGCCTTCAGCCGACCTGAGCTCAGCAGCCGACCCGACACTGAGTTCTTCAAGTTCGTAGTACGAGGAAAGGGGCTGATTTCTTCCCAGGGTGAGCTGTGGCAGAAGTCAAAACTTCTCACGCTTCATCACCTGCGCAACTTGGGCATGGGAAAGTCCGAACTGGAGGAGTACATGCACTATCAGATCACCAGTTACATGGACGAGATTCTGGCCCCGAATTGCGGCTCTGAGCTTGCCTTTGACTCATCTCTGAACGTCGCCGTGGTCAACATCATCTGGAAGCTGGTTGCGTCGGAGGAGCTGAGCTTCACCGACACCACGGTCCTGAACACTATCAATAAACTTTCAGAAGGTACTGACATTGCCCTGCGCTTGGAAATTCTTGATGCCGTTCCATGGCTAAGCAACGTGCTGGCAAGCTTTGTTTTCAACAGGGCAAAGGTCGAGAAGGAATTTGACAATTTACTGGAGGACGCATTCATGCCCTCGATCAAACAACATAGGGACGATCTTGACGTGTCCAGTGAGCCTCGTGACTATATGGAGGCTATGCTTCAAGAGCAGCGCAAGCGACCGGACCTGCTAACCGACTGGCACCTTGTCATCTTGGTGATGGACCTGTTTCTCGCCGGCAACGACACGACGGCTGCGACACTGCGCTGGGCATTCTGCTTCCTGTGCAACCGTCCGGAGGTGCAGCGGCGTCTGCAGGCCGAGCTGGACGGCCAGGTGGGCCGGCAGCGGCTGCCGTCCCTCTCGGACAGGTCGCGTCTTCCGTACGTCGAGGCCGTGCTGCTGGAGACGCAGAGACTGGCCGACATCACACCCCTGCTCGTGATGCACCAGTCAATGGCGCCTGTCGATGTCGGCCGATACCGGCTGCCAGCCGGCGTCCAGGTCATGGCCAACGTGCACAGTGCGCATCGCAGCGAGCGTCTGTTCCCGAGCCGCTGCAGTTCCGGCCCGAGCGTTTCCTGGACGCCGACGGCAAGTTCCAGCCGGACAAGAACGTCATGCCGTTCTCAGTGGGCAAGAGACGGTGTGTGGGCGAGAGTGTGGCGCGGGCAGAGCTGTTCCTCTTCCTTGCATGCTTCATGCAAACCTTTACCTTTCATTGGCCAGAAGGGTTCACACACGACTTCGACGAAGACCCAGCACACTCGTTCCTTCGCGAACCCAAACCGTACAAGCTCATCCCGGAAAGGCGCTGAAGCACAGGAACGGAGAGGGACAGGGGGCAGCTGCCTTCCCCACCCGAAAATACGGGGCACTCGCGCGCGCGTTTGCACGCTATGGTACCTGTGATCTTTGAGCACCACACGCACGTGGGGGATTAGTGATTCCTGCGAGACCTATGAACCTTGTTTCTGTTGACTTCATCGGAACTACACTTCCAAATCTCAGTAACCATTACATTTAGCGCAATGACTATCCGTCACAAAACCTCATTACTTGCACTAACGCTGACTGTTTAGATTGCCTGTAACTTGGATGGGCTGCCGGTAGTTGACATTTAATAGGCGGCAACGAGCAATACTAGCCCGCGCCGGTACATCCCTGAAGGGCATGCACATGTGTTGAAGTGGAATGGCAGGCGACCATTTTTTTACTTACGATCGTTCAGGTTATAAATGCGTCGCCGCTCTTTTTTGTGTTCTCTTTTGTTTGTTGGAGGGGGATGTAAACGCAATAGTTTATCTTGTTCTGATTCTGAAGTGGCGTTACAAGGCCAGTCGTTGGAGCGAACCGGAGCGCCGCACCCCCACCGACCCCGCTCCATCCCCCCCCCCCCCCACCCAGTGACCTGCTGACCTTGATTACAACTCAAAGTGTAAGACGACAAGTGCAGCTCTGATTGTAGGCTGACGTAGGTAGGTGTTGTGATGGGCCTGTGTGGGAAGCTCTGACTGGTTTGACGTGGCCTAGATGTAGGACTAATGAGCTTGCAATGAATGAGTCGTAGATGACTAATATGTACATACAACGTGTATGTATGCATTTGTCGCCGCTTGCACTTGATATGATTATGTCAAAGCAAAGTTGAACGATTTGCGTTCGAGAAAATAAAGTCATAACATAGAGATTCAGTCTAGTATTATGCAGCGTTTCTCATGTCCCCGATCTTCGACGCACTAAGGTGAGACGACCAAGACCCAGCCGCTCTTTTTTATGGTCCAGTTCCAAATGCACGCAGAATATACTGTGACGCGAAAAACATAACCCCACCAAAGAGTGCCTTATTTATCGGATACGTGCACGTTTCTGTTATGGCGCGTTCAAACCGCAGACATCGCACATCATCAACCATCATCACTGTGTTGTTTTGATTCATTGTCGGCACGAGCAAGTCACACCATGCGGTATCTCGGCTGAACAGCCCGAGAGACATTTAGTGTGAGCATGCATTGCACGTGATTCATGTCAGGCCCGCGACGATCCCATGCACTTAATTACCAGTTACGAATGAAATGTTAAATTAAGCCGAAAAGTCTTGGCTATACAGCTCCCGAAGCCTGGCCTGTGATTGGCCCAAGTATCAGGCGGTTGCCACTCATCACCAATGCCTTTCTTATTCAGTAATGAAAGAGTGTTCCACATTTGTAGGGAGTTTTGAAATGGAAGAGCCATCTTGAAGGTCATTCGGTGGGGTTCACAGCCCTGCCATTATTAAGGCCTGGCAAAGTATTGAGTTCTGTCTAAATGAGATTGTTCGTCGCAATATAAGTTAACCTGTTGCAGTTGTTCCAGTTTGACAATTTTGCCATCAGTTTGCTCGCAAAAGTGTCCATTTTTGTCCGAAACTTGTTGGCCTCTGGCAAAGACCAATAACAAAGTGTACGTGGTGCTCCCAATTTTACGGGTTTGAAAAGCCTTTGTAATGTCGATTTTCAGCTCGTTCCATGAAGGGTTAACATATAAAACTGTTGTTGGAGGCTCAGCCCCTGGACATAACTTGTCTTTCAATAATTCGTAGCATCCGGAAACATTAAAACTGGTATTTGAATACTTAATTCAGATATGGCATCTGGTTTTAGAACTATACCAGGAATGTTATTACTTTATTATGGTTTCCCACATCAGCAGGACCTTGCTACAAAGTTTGTGTATTCATATTTAATACTTTTAATAGGAAATGTCCTCGAATGAAATGGGGTGGGAAATGCACACTCAATGCAACACGTTTAGAGCCTGCAATCGTGAACGCCTATTGTACTTCGTATCTTACCTATAGATCTATAAGACCGTGCTACGACGTTTTGAGTGACCCGAATATTTACAAATCTACTGAATACCTATCAGCGAACAGTAATCCCCTGGGATAAAAATGACCATTTCAGTCGACGCGCCTGACAGCACCAACAAACAAGAACAGCAATCCTTTCTGTGAGCGGCTGGTGTGCAATGTGCCGAACTAGGTGCGCCTGGCTACGCTCCTCAATCAGGGCAGACGTCATTCGGTAAGCATGCGTCCAAACATAAATGCTCGTCCGTATGACGCTGCAAATAGTGAGGAGCAGCGACGTAACAGCCACTCGCCAACCGGGTTGCAGCCCGTCAGGGTGCACCGATTTCAAGACCGCTACGCGGAGCCGAGATTGGCGGTAGTCCGGCTGCGCAGTCTACTGTTTGCACTGTGTTAGAGGAACACCGTCAAGTGCGGTCGAAAAGATGTACCTCTGGCTGGTGCTCGTCTTGGCAGCTGTCCTGCTGTGGGCCTGGAGGTCAACCAGGCGACCGGCCTGGAGTCCACACGGTGAGTGAACGTGAGGCCCACGTAACGAATTGCGTGCTGGAATACTTGCCATGTTCGTGTCAACGTTTGTGTTGCGTTTAGATGACGCCACGTACAATTAACAGGCGTCCGAAAAGAGCAGTGTGTGCGTCTAAACCTCTGTCCAAATCCAGACCTAAGCCAACAAAGTCTTAGCAAGCATAAATATGCGCGCTTTGAGTTCGATAGCTTTGCGTAAAATTCCCCTGCCCCTGCATTTAAGTGACTAGAGTTGCCATTTGAGAGATTCTGGAAACCTAGCGGCCCAGTAGCCCGATTGGAAGGGCCTAAAAAACCGGCAATACGCAGACACGCAAATTTTCCGAAACGGCTCGTCCGATCGCCTTAAAACCTGTTCCGATAGATTCCGTGCCGTGCGGTGAGTCATGGGGAGACATTATCGAGATCTGACCTGAGGTCAAGCACCGAAAACGTGAAGGGAAAACTTTACATGCAAATGCAGACAGCTTATATCTCAGAGCTTACTGGACCCATGACTGTGGGACTTTCACCACTGTATGCCCCATACCTGACTCTCTGTTTGCAGTTCCAAATTTGATGACCCTAGGTCAGGTTAAAGGTCGTCAAATTTCACAAAATCCGAAAATCTTTCTTGCAGATGCCTCATAGCTCAGAACCTACCGAGTCGATCACTGCCAAACCTTCACCGATGCATGCCCCACACCTGATTCCCTGTTTGCGGTTCCAAATTTGGTAACCCTGGGTCAGGTCAAAATCCGTCAAATTTCACAAAGTCTGAATTTGCTTCGTGCAGTCAATTATAGCTCTGAATCTATCAAGCGGGTAGCTGCCAAACCTTACCACTCAGAACGCCATCTACCCTAATTCTCTGTTGAAAATTGAAGTATGGTGCCACTTATAATTGTCTTTCTCTTTGTGTTCGTCCCCCACCCCCAAAAAAAAAACATGTGCAGCTTGGTTGGGCTGGCCTTATGAGACTGAATTTCTCCGTAGTGGAGGTGTGCTGAACATCATGCTCTGAGCTTGGTGTCACCACGATTAACGCCTCCGCTGAGGAGTTATTCAACCTCATAAGGCCAGCCCAACCAAGCCGCACTTTTTCTTGGGAACAAGGATAAAGGAAAGACATAATTATAAGCGGTACCATGCTTATAGTTTTTGCAAAGACTTTGGGATTGACTTTGGAAAAGACTTTGGGTAGATGGCGTGCAGAATGGTAAGGTTTGACAGTCATGGGCGTGATAGATTTTGAGCTTTAAGTGGTCCACAAGCAACAATTTTGGACATTGTGAAAATTGACTACTCTTGACCTGATCTAGGGTCAGCAAATTTGAATTAAGATCAGGCATGGGCTATCCAATGGGGAAGGTTTTACGGCGATCGGTCCAGTAAGCTCTGAGATCTGAGATGTCTGCATTTGCATGTAATTTTTTCCCTTCACGTTTTCGAGGTGTTTGACCTCAGGTCACATATTCATTTTGTCCCCATGACTCACCTTATCGCACGTAATCGATTGATGAAGGTTTCAAGGCGGTTGGACGAGCCGCTTCGGAAAACTTGCGTGTCTGCGTCACATGTCGGTTTTTCAGATCCTGCCGTCCGAATTCAAATTCATCCGGCCATACTCGGAATTTTCGAGCGACTAGAATGTTATACTCTTTGGCATATATTTAAATGCATTACCCATACGTGAGAGATGATGTGTATTGTGCATGCAGGAACTTCAACAAAGGTATATAAATAACCAAACAACTAACAAACATTCGGGAATCTGGAAGGGAGTGATCCCGATATGTAAGGGTTTTCAACCGAAATGGCCTCCTTAAAGACCTTTTGATGCAGTTCACAGCCCTGCCCGTCTTAACACCTAAACTCTTTTGGTTTTTGAGTTACACACCGCGAAAATGGAGAGAATTTCGGAGACAGTACTTCTGGATCACCTTGGCATTCGTGACGTCACAATACCGTCACCAACATCCTGCCTTTCCATAGCCCATGCGGCGAGCAAGGCGGAGAAAAGTGTAATATTGGAGTCGTTCACATCTGGCGTTCGTGAGCACGATTTCGAGATCACGTTATCAAACAATGACGTATCGAGGAGCATATTTACTACAAAAAAGTGGCGTCGTCTTGAACAGTCTTTCCTCTTAAAAGTTTACCGATAATTTAAGTCAGATTGTTTCATCATATCTGATGCTGTCTTTGATATTTTCAAATGTGACACATTCCCTTTAAAAGATGTGCCGCATTTGTATGGGTTTTCAACTGAAATGAACGTTTTGAAGACCGTTCGGTTCAGTCCACAGCCCTGTCCGCCTGAGGGCCTAAAATCCTCTGGTTTCGGATCTATACATCCACAAAGACGTGAAGACTTTTTGAGAAAACTTTTCCAAGGTCATTCCGGCATACCTAACACCATGGAAACGTCATTCAAATTCGGCGACCCGATTGGTCATGCAGCGTTCAAGACCAAGAGGAGTGTAATCGTCAAGCCGCTCCTTTCTGGCGTTCATGAGTACGACTTCCAACTAAAATGGGCGCCCATCGGCTGTCAGTCGATGTTGACCAGGCTGTGCAAGTTTTAATACCGATTCGCATCTTGTGCTACACAAGATAAGAAGTTGGACGCAGTTCCTAAGCAATACTATCATTTGGAAATAAGATTAGTAGTTGAATATCTTATTAATAGCGCTATAACCGAGCACATGAATACAAGTGATTCCCTTAATTTCATAAATGAATATGCAAGAACACTACGATGAAGGGCTAATACACAAGCACAGCACGATATGTAGATTAGCAAATACACAGCACAACGAGAGACCACCTGTCGGAAAATATAAGTTCTACAGTCAAGTGCTAGTGTCGCAATGTCGCACGCGCAGTTTGACAGAACCTCAACGTTACACAAATATTTCATGCTGCAGTGACACATTGACGTGTTGAGGTGCATGTTTTTAAAGCAGACAAATGTTGTTCAGAGAAATTTTCATCGTGCCATGCACATCACTGATCGAAAGCCGATTGGCTTTTGATCAGTGTGGCTTTCGATCATTGGCTTTGGCAAATTTGATTTTTATAACCTATGCCCGTGCTCCCAGCTTTCAAAGGAGAGTGCGTCGAATCTGGGGGAAAACTGATGGATTGCACTTCAGAGGCAGGGTCTGTGTTTTTCTGCTTCCTCCGCCCTCCCCCTCACCCGTATGTATTTTTTGGTTGTGTGGCGTCATCGTGCGATCCGTCGAAAGTATTTGCGACCATCATTATCTTCGCGCAACATTGGTGCAGGCCACGCCCTTCATGAAGTGATCCCAATTAGTCCGTGCCAAACCCGTATAATATTGATATCAGCAAGTACAAACGGAATTTTTGAACATCATCGCCTTCATTTAGCTCTATATACCATATAATGACAATGAAAGGCGTTTGATCTCAGGCTTGGGCACCGGTCAGTTCGCTAAGTATTAAGTGTGACGGGCATTGTGAAAGCCTATATCAGCGATGCTCGGCCTTTTGCCTTTAAGCCGCTGTTCCTCATAGAAGCGGGGAGCCCCAGATGAATCCTTGAAATGTTCGCTCCAGTATCTTCCGTTGACCTCTGAAGCTGCGGATTGGGCCTCCACAAACAACAAGCCTCCTAAATCAGCTGGGCTTTTTAACGCTATTACCAGCTACTCCCTCCATGGTAAATCCTTAAACGTAGGCGTAGGAACGTTTCAAAAGTGGGGGGCCGAGCTCAGAGTGTACTTCAGAAACTTTTTCTGGAAAGCGAGCCCGATGACCGGGCGGGGGGAGGGTGGTAGGGATGGAGATTGTTATCGCTCTTTATTCAAATGTCATGGCTGCTATGCTAGCTATGCATCTAGAGCTGTTCATCACTGGTGCACAATCTTGCCAATTCGACTAATTTGCCATTTGGCAAGTAAGGCTATCCAGCTTCCCTAGGTTATTCGTCCATTGTCTTTCCTGGGCAGACAAAATTCCACGAGCGGGTAGGCATTTTGGGTCATTAAGGAAGCATTTGCCTCCACAGTGTAGATGCCAAAATACGGGATGGATATAGGCTGGTGAAAATTTTGAAACTGGATCGATGGCTCACAGTGCGCCAGATTGTTCATGCGCCTTCATTTCACTGACTGCCTTTCAAGAAATAAGACTTGTCGCAGCATTTCAGGCGGAAACCAATTCGGTAGCTTGAGACTGGTAGAAACAATGTGACAAAATCCATAAAACTGGAGATTCTCTTTTAAGAATCAAGCTACAAAATAAGGCACATCTGTCGTATGTTCTGACTGCTGACTGACTGCGAGCTGATCGTGTGGCTACTTTTTTGCATACTTTTGGACCAGCGTTACTTCTACATGGTGTATGAAACATGCGTTGGACACCAGCAACAGTATTTTTCCCGAATTATCTTCCCTTATACCTCACCATCGCAGGCCTTCTGACCCGCGCAGCTAGCCCCGGATCAGCTCAGGGACCCTCATTGACGCAACAACATCCCTGATCACCGCAGGCAGTCCGATAGTTCTCACATGGACTCGAGTTTCATGTTTTTTTGTGTCCTTCAGAGATATTGAGTTCTTCCTGATTGTAGTTTGCAGATGAAATGGGGTTCATAATTTGTATTTTCATGGCTAGCCCGTGTTCGTCTTATAATGCTCAAGGTCCTGTCAGAGTTGATAACAGATAAAAACACTGCGTAATATGGTGCTGAACAGGCGTGCTCGCAAGTCATAGCAATAACAGCCTCGACGCCCGGCGTTGCAGTCTCCAAGCCGTGCTTCGCGGGTCTTGTGGCTGTAACGCTAAGTGATGGCCAATGAGGAAACGAAAAAGGTCACGCATCTTAAGGGAGATGGCTGGTGAATTAAGTAAATCGGCATGCATGTTTAATGCAGTGCAAAAGTAATCCAAATGCAACCTTAATCCGTAAAGTGGGGGGGGGGGGCAGTTAACATTGCTGCCCCCCCCCACCTTGAAAAGTGGGGAGGCCGTGCCCTCTGCCCCCCCCCCCCCCCCCCCCCCGGTTCCCATGCCTATGTCCTTAGAAAACGACGCACAGCACCCTAAAAAAACTGACGATGGTCTATGTTTTTTTCAAGCCAGTCAACTTCTAACGACACGAAGGCAATGAACAGCAGCCCACAGCCCTGCAGCCTTGTATTGAAATCGTTTCAGTATTACGTGGCGAGCATTCGAGCAGCACTGCGTGGCGAGCTGTCTCAAATGGCACGACGTTTTAAAGCCTCGTGACTATATTGAGGCTATGCTTCAAGAGCAGCGGAAGTGACCGGACCTGCTGACCGACTGGCACCTGCTCATCTCGGTGATGGACCTGTTTCTCGCCGGCAACGACACGACAGCTACCACGCTGCGCTGGGCGTTCTGCTTCCTGTGCAGCCGCTCGGAGGTGCAGCGGCGTCTGCAGGCCGAGCTGGACGGCCAAGTGGGCCGGCAACGGCTGCCGTCCCTCTCGGACAGGTCGCGTCTTCCGTACGTCGAGGCCGTGCTGCTGGAGACGCAGCGACTGGCCGACATCGCACCCCTGCTCCTGATGCACCAGTCGATGGCGCCTGTTGATGTTGGACGATACCGGCTGCCACCCGGCGTCCAGATCATCGCTAACGTGCACAGCGTACACCACAGCGAACGGCTGTTCCCCGAGCCGCTGCAGTTCCGCCCCGAGCGATTCCTGGACGCTGACGGCAAGTTCCAGCCGGACAAGAACGTCATGCCGTTCTCAGTGGGCAAGAGGCAGTGTATGGGCGAGAGCATGGCGCGAGCAGAGCTGTTTCTCTTCCTTACCTGTTTCGTGCAGGCCTTCACCTTCCACTGGCCAGAAGGATTCACCCACGACTTGGGCGGAGACCCGGCAGGCTCCTTCCTTCGCAATCCCAAACCATACAAGCTCATCCCGGAAAGGCGCTGAGGCGCAGGGACGTCGAGGGGCAGGGAAGCGGCTGCCCTCGCCATCCCAAAATTCGGGGCACACGCGCGCAATTGTTTGTGCGCTATGATACATTTGATCCTTGCGCGCCACGAAGGGCTGCCACCCACACGTGGGAAATTAGTGAATCCGGGAAGACGTATGAAATGATGCCCTTTCGTTTGATTGCATGGGGGGGACTTTTTCAACTTTCAGTGACCAACACTTTTAGCGCAATGACTGTCCGTTACCAAAACTGATTGCTTGCACTAACGCTGACGTTTTAGATTCCCTACAACTTAGATAAGCTGTTGGTGGGTGTTATATTTGATACGCTGCGACGATTAACACCAGTCCGCGCCGGCGAGAATCTGAGCGACGTGCACATGTGAAGAATTTAAGCGGCAGGCCACCATTTTTATCCTTACGACACTTCAGAACATAAATGTGGGTCCGCTTAATTTTGAGTTTGGTTTTGTTTTTTGATAGGGATGTCAACGCAATATTATATCTTATTTTGTTTCCGAAGTGGCGTCACAGGGCAAATCGTCCGAGCTTGCTGGCCCACCGCACGCCCACGGACCCCGCCCCTCCCCTCTGCCCAGTGACCCGCTGATATTGATCGAAACTCAACTTGTAACTCAAATTGTAAGACAACGGTTCTGATTGTGAGCTGACGTGGGTAGGTGTTGTGGACTGACGTGGGTAGCACCGACTGGTTTGACGTGGGCGTAGGTGTAGAACTAATGAGCTTGCAATGAATGAGTCACAGATAACTAGTATGTAAGTACAGTGTGTATGTATGTTTTTGTTGCCGCTTGCGTTTAAAATGATCATCGTGGAACGGAAATTCAATGATTTGCTTTCGAGAAAATAAAGCCATGATACAAAAAGTCAGTCTAGTTTTCTGCAGCGTTTTTATATCCCGATCTTCCACATACTAAGATGAGACAACAAGACCCACACGCGCCTTTGTTGTGATCCAGAGCGAAATGGGCTTAAAATGTAGTGTGACGCAAAAATAAAACCCCACCAAAGGGTGCCTCCTTTACCGCATAGTTGCACGCTCCCACTATGGCACGTCAAAGCCGCAGACATCGCGTAGCATCACCTATCATCATTGTGTTGTTTTGATTCATGACCGGCATGAGCAAGTCATGCCATGCGGTATTTCGGCTGAACAACCAGAGGAAACCACCTCGAGTGCAGGCATGCATTGCACGCGATTCATGTCAGACCCGCCACGACGTGAAACACTTTTTTTGCAATTACGCATAAAATGTGAGATTACGCCAAAAATGCATTGGGTGCACTGCTCCTTGTGCCCGGCCTGTGGTTGGCCAAAGGATGAGATGTTTGCCATTCATCATTAATGCCTCTCTTATTCAGTCATCATAGAGGGTCTTCCACATTTGTGTGGGTCGTAAACTGGAATAGCCATTTTGAAGACTATTCGGTGCAGCTCACAACCCTGCCCTTCTTAAGATATAAACCCGTCTAGTTTCTGAGCTATGCGCCCACTCAAATAAACATTCTTGTTGGGTAAGGTATTTCAATGTCATTTTGGCGCTCATGACCTCACGATAACCACATTAAACTACTGCCATTCCATTAGCTATGCGGCGATGAAGGCAAAAAAATGTGATGGTCGAGCCATTCATAATTGGCGTTCGTTAGCACGATTTCGAGATATAGCGGCCATCAATTGGTTCTCAATCAATGTTGTGTAAGCCGCGATGACGTAATGAAACAGTGACGTATTTAGGAACAGGATCATCATCATCATCAGCGTTATAATAAAGGAACAATGTGTGCGTGCGTGTGTGTGCGTGCGTGCGTGCGTGCGTGCGTGCGTGTGTGTGTTCCCATGAAATTTTCAGCACGAAGTGTCCCGCCAAAATCCTGCATTTCACAAAAATGAGCGCGTGCTGAGCGAAAAACGAGCACAAAAAACCCATAGGTTCAAGACCTTCGACGCCAATTTCAAGCCATCGGGCCGACGGCTCGAGACGCTTCGCTTCCCGCAGCCATATCTCGATAACCAAGGGTTGCAGCGACATGAAACTTGCGCATTGCGATAGAACGTTGAATGGCCCATCGTACTGGTGTGATTCTATGGCATCACGTAATACGTAGCACGTGCACACGTGCTGAAAAGATGGGATCAGTCGTTTTTTGACGGGTTTTAGCGTTTTGGGTCACATCTCGAAACCCAGTGCGCGCACAGGCGTGAATTTTGTTTCCTAGCATTTACAATTTGAGCGAATTCACTCTCAGTTGCATCGCAAGTTTCTGCAACGCACCGTTGCGCTGTGAATTGGAATACAATTTGCAAAGGGCCAAGTTTTAAAAATCGTCGCCAAATACAAGCCTCTGCGGTCAAAACTGTTCGTGATTCAGCGTTGAAGACAATATCAGCGTGTTGGCCGATTCATTCTCTGCCCGAACCATTTTGTTGACAACATTTTGACGCATGTAGCTCGCAAATGAGCCTAGACTAAGTCATTGCATGACGGCTTTTTCGCCGCGACGACGGCAAGTTGCTTACCCGGTTCCCGGCGTACACCATGGGCGTTAAAGGTCGAAATAGCCGTTCGCGCGGCTGGATTTTGACTTTGTTCATTTCGCCGGCCCACCTTTTCACATATATAGCATTCTGGCGTTCCATCAGATCAAGACATCGTCGACCCACTCGCTGGCTACGGCCGACTGGCGAGACATTTTCTGATGGAAGCGGTTGCTCCTGTTGCGGCTTTCAGCCACGGAGTCCTATTTACACCGTCGTTTGCGTCGCTTTTCCGTTCGCTCTCGTTTCGAACACACATGTTTGTGCTGTCCTTTTGTTGTTCTCTCTCACTCGGTCACCAAGGCCAATGGCCACACCGGACGTGCAGTAGTTTGCAATTAACATTACCATAACAATATCAGTTACCAGATGACACCTTATTTGGATGAACTATTTGCTCTTTCTCTTGCGTTACAGCATGTTCAACAACACACCCATGCAACGAAGACAAAGGTGGTCTGTTGTGATTCTAAGGCGGCTGTACAATCACTTGTCGACCCAGACTTCAACCACCACCTCCTTGTTAACATCCCTAACCTCCCTGACCTCTACCATACGTTACACACACAGAGCATGAACATAACATTCTTGTGGGTTCCAGGACACAGGTATGGCGGGGAAGGAGCGGGCTGATCAACTAGCCAAGAAAGCCTTGACAGCCTCTCACATCATAGGGATCCCCGTTGATCATGCGTCTACGAAATCTTCGATTCGCACACTGACAAAACATTTTTGGCTACTACAATGGACCGATGCAAACAGAACACAACTTCATGGTATTAAACCAGACATTTCTCCTTGGCGATCAGCACACCGTTAAGACTGTTTAGAGAAAAAGGTGCTGGCTCGTCTAAGAATTGGACACACTACATTCACACGTGGCTAAATTTATCTACGTCAACCTCGTCCCCGCTGTCAGCCGTGTGATCATCCACTTTCGGTTAAGCATCTAATTATTCAGTGCATGAAATATCAACAACGTAATGACGTGAAAGCCTACTATCATCGACACGACGTTGAATTTTCTTTAAAAAGTATGTTTGGCGATGCCCATCCTCCTTGCTTGAATTGCTTTTCAATTCCCTCAAACTTATCGGCCTGCTTAACGCAAGGTAAAAGGAAGGTATCATTTTTCTCCTTTCTTACAATTACAATGCTTATTTGAAATGATGCATCTCAGGCATGAACTGGCCCGAAAGAGCTGAAACACCTCAAACGAATAAAATCAAAAATCAAAGTGTTCCATCAGTTCGTCCGGCTGTGTGGCGGGAGACGGGCTACCTGCAAGCACAATGTCGATCGGCCCGGGCGGTCGGCGTCACGCTGTGTGTGACGGTCGCTGTGCTTGCAGTGCACGTACAGGTGTGGATTTTGTTTCCCAACATTCACAATTGACGGGGCTACACTTTCAGTCGCATCGCGAGTTTGTGCAACGCACCGTTGCGCTGAGAATTGCAGGACAAATTGCAAGATGCCATGTTTTAAAAATCGGTGCCGAATATGCAGGCTGCTACCGTCAAAACTATTCATGATTTGGAATTGAAAATTACAGCAGCGTGTTAGCCAATTCATTCTCCCTCTATACCATACTGTTGTTGATCATATATTGACATACGTCGCTCGCAAATGAGCCCAGATTAATGGGTTGCATGGCGGCTTCTTACGCCGCGACCGAACGGCTCCGTCCGGCGTCGGCCGACGCCGAAGGTCGCCTCAAGGTTAAACGGCCGTGAATCGCGGGACTGGCAGCCGTAATGAATTGCCTCCGACCGATTATGCCATCTCGCACCAACATCTCAACAACGGTGGATTGCAGCGACACGGAAATGGTGGTGTACCATGCGAAATGATACGGTCACACTTATCACGTGGCACGGGCTCACAGATGGATTTTGCTCTCTTGCACGGGCTTGCACGTTTTGTGCCACATCTCAGTGCCCATGACACGAACACACCCGGGATTGGCGTGCTTCGATCATGAATGGAAGGTGCGAGATGATAATGTGTGGTGACATGTGTTACATGTGATGGCGCCCGCGTGTTGAGTTATGCATTTACACGTTTTTGCTCTTTTGAGGGGCTTACGTTTTTGTGATCTCTCAGAAACCAGGGAATAAAGTATGTCGAGACTAACATGCTCCGATAGGCGATCTAACGAGCAATCATTCAAACGCGTGCGATGTGATGCTACACGTGTCATGTGACAAGTGTACATTAGCCGCGAATATATTTTTGCCGTTTTCGTCCATTTTTACGCTTTACGCGGGATTACCGCTCTTATGGCACGTAGCAATAAGAGACTGTCATGCTGCGATAGGCCATTGAACGGAAAATCCCATGGTGTCACAAGTGCGGGACTGCACGTTACACGTGTCGGGCACACACGAGCGAGGAAGATGGCCTTTGCTCTTTTCCACGGGTTCACACGTTTTGTGCCACATCTCGTCACCCAGGGCACGGAGCCGCTGGGTGTGGCATGCATTGATAAGAAATCGGACAGACAGTGACGTTGCATGAATTGTCATGTCGCACGTGTTGTGTGTAACGCGTGCACAAGCCAACAGGATAGATCTGGCCGTTACCGGCCGTTTTTCACAATTTACGCTACATCTCGGCAACCAAGACGTCTAAGTCCATGATGATGGATGACTTTTATTTAAGATGTTGAATTTTGCACTTTTCCATAGTTCTACACGTTTTGTGCTGCACCTCTGCACGGGGCGCACTCGGCGGAAGCATGCACTGATGGGGAATCGAACGGACAATCACGTGGTATAGATTGCAGCGCCACTTGTGTCTGAGCCAGGAAAACTGATTTGGCCGCTACCGACCGTTTTTGAATGTTCGATGCAATACACTGTTGTTTGATACAACGGGAGTGCGTGCTGCCATCATTCAAAGGCGGAGAGCTGATGCAAGGCGCAAGGATCACCGGTCACATCCCACGATCAATCGCCGGTCCCATGGAACACGTTTGTCTGTGTCGGAAACCGCAGGCAA